TGATGCTGAATTGTATTTAGTACAAAAGAAAAAAAATTGAAACCAGGTCCCTGTGAGAGAGCAATTACCCACCAAAGAAGCCAAATTTAATGAAAGTTGCTCAAGGTTAAGGTTGAAAAAGCAATCAAGAGTCAAGAATTCATTTCCTGCCAGTGTCCTCGTTGTGACGCTTCACTGACTTAGTCTGGATAAATCACACTTTTCTGTGACTTTGATTCCTAAATTGTGAAGTGGAGCTGATTCAGTGATCTTACTAGAACCTAAAAGAGAGAAATAGGTACCTTTTGTTACAAATGAGATTGTCGTCTCGAAGCTATCTGTAAACAGAGGTTTGTTTTTTTTTTTTCTGTATAAAGTAGATTTTCACAGTCAGTTCCATAAATTTGAAGTGTTGTGGTTGCTGTGCTCCCAGAAGACTGGTTTTCTCTGTATAATATCGTGCTTCACAAAATGACAGTGGAAGTGGGGCTCATTCTGTGGCATTCCCTTCTCCCTGGACCTCCTTTTCTTACCCCTTGCTCTCCCCAGGAAGCCAAGTGAACCAAAGCCAGGAGCATTGTTACCTCACTGCTCAAAGGTTGCCCCTTCCTCTACAGGAAATTCAGTCTGAAGCAATGAAACATACTTTATTTATATGGGAAATAACTGCCTCTGGAATTGTTCGGTAATTAACAGGGCTGGTGTTGTAGCTCTGTGTGCGGGCCAGTGTGCTAGCATCAGAGCAGCAAATGGAGGTGTGAGAGTTTCCCTCCTACCCAAAGTGGCTAAAATGGAGTCGTGCAGAAAGCAAGATTCTTCTTCCAAGAGAGGAACAGCAGTAGACGCTAGAGCCTTCTACATGTGCTTAGGATAGTCACATGTTTCGTGCTCAAGAATGGCGTCTCGTGTTAAATCAGCTAGTTCCCCATATACCTTCTTGACACATGGCCAGATGGATTATGTTCCATTTTACATGACTGAAGGAGAATTACTATACTCATTTATTGCTAAAAATATTTCAGTGACTCTGTATTTCAGGGCTTATGCATAGATAATGTGATGAAATAAAAGCACATGGTAGACGAAAGGATTTGACTTTTCTCTGTGGTCTGATTTTTCAGATTTTCCAATTGGAACATTCCAATAATTTAAAATCCTGAACCTAATTGACATTTATTAGGCTGTCTATCTCTAGGGCCAGCGATGTAGCTCAGTGTAGCCTGTGTGGAAGTGCAAAGTCCTGAGTTCAATGCCCAGTACCAAAAATAAATAAATAAATAAATAAATAAATAAACCTGTCTCTATAGTTTTGCTTTTGTTTCTATTTTTGGTAGTGAGGATTGAACCAGGGCCTTTTTACTAATATTACCAGCCCTTTTTATTTTTTATTTTGAGGCAAGTTTTTGCTAAATTGCCTTGCTGAACTCGACCTTCTAGTCTTCCTGCCTCAGCCTCCCAGGGTGCTGAGATTATGGTGTGCAGCATCCTCCTGGCTTCTGTAGTTTTCTTTTAAAAGGTTAAAAAAAGAATCTTCCCCATTCAATGAAATATTGTTTCCACCTATTTGTAAGATAGATTTCTGGTAGTATATACAATTATACAGTTCCTACCCATTTTTAAGAGTTAATAATTGGCTTGGGAAGAAAAGGTATGAATATCGTATTGATAAATACTAAATGAATTATACAAATAGGATGTTACTGGAGGTTAAGGGAGCAAGAAAAGCACTTCTGACTCTGATGTTAAGAGAAGGACTTGGAGATGAAAATGGAACTTGTATCCGCCTCGCAAACCTGGAAATTGGTGGCTGGCAGTGGAGAAAGGAACATTTGCTTTGCGGAGGCCATAGAGGTAGGGTCTGGCCTGGCATACTCGAGGGACAATGACTAAAATACAGGGTGGTGTGTAAAACACAGACTCAGGAGCCAGACTACCCGGGTTCAGGGCTGCCTTTTTCTTATTGTGTGACCTTGATGAGTTTCTTAATCTTTCTTTACCCCAATTTCTCATAAAGTGGCATTAATCATACTGAAGTCATATGCTGTCATAAGAATTTGAGAATAGTGCCTTCAAATAATGATTGTAGGGGCCAGGGATTTAGCTCAGTCGTTCTGCCGCCTGCCTCACAAGTACAAGGTGCTGAGTTTGATCCCTGGTACCACACACACACACACACACACACACACACACACACACACAATAGTGATTGTACAGGCTAAATATTAAATAAGTGAAGTGAGCACGATGATGGTGGAGATATGTAGGGAAGCATTGGAGTAGCCCCTGCGGGGCTGGATGGGCAGGACGCTTACAGCATGTGCCGGGAAGTTACAGAAGCTGTGTAATAAGTAGGAACGTACTATCAGAGTCATGATTTTTAAAAAGTCTTCTACAGAATAGGTTGAAAAGAGACTGGTGGCAGAGAGAGTGGCTGGGAATTTTCAGGAATCCAGACCTGAGGAACCCAAGACCAGAACTCAAATAATAGAATGTGGGTTTGTATCAGAAAGGCAGGACCGGCTTGGAAACATTCACTATGAACATGTTGCGAGGGTCTGTTGTGGAGCATCAGGGACACAGGCACACAGGTGGCAGAATGCTGTGCCTGACTGAGGGAGAGGATTCAAAATATGGGAGTTCTCAGAAGAGCTGATCGTGTGTGCCAAAAGGAGAAGTCTAGTTCACATGTCTTGCATGTAAAAATGATAACTGGATTCGGTGTGGAAAATATCCTGGAAAACGCTTGTCTGGTGCTCTAAGAGATAGAGGCTGGGGCTAGGAGACGGAAGCAGAGAGCAAGTTGGTACTGTAACAATGAACAAAGTAATAGAGAAGAAGCTATGCAAACTAAAATCTTCAGTCATTTTCTTTCCATTTCTGTAAGAGAAAGCATGAATCTAAGAGAAGGGAAACGTTTCCAATCTGGAGGACTCAACTTGAAACATGGACAGTAGTAGAGCTCCTTGGCCAGCAAAGGCAGTTTTACAGATTGAGTGCTAGACATAGCATCATAAGAGATGTGCTAAGTGTCTCTAAATGCGGGGTTCTGGATCCACAGTTCACATCGTTGCAGACAGGCTTTGTTCTAATGGTGGAGTATTGTCGTTAGGGTTGTCTTAATTTTGTGCAATTCTAGCCATGCCTTTTATATAGGTACTATCAACATATGTGTGTATGTACATATTCACATATACATACAGAGTTATTACTTGATTTTCATAAACTCCTCCTTTTAGACCAGTAATGTGTACTTTTTCTCTTCAATTAGATTTTAATTTCCTGTGGGTAAGAAGGTCTTTTGTTGCTTCCAGTCTTGTGGTTTTTGTGCTCATTCAGTTATGTATTTCTTCCAGCCCATTCATTCTTTTCGGACACTGTATTAATTGTGAGGGTGATGAAAAAGACATAATTCTTGGGAGCATACTCAGTAGCTGGGGAAGAAAAGACAAAAGTGTATAGTAGAAGCAATAATAAAGACATTCCAAAAGTGTGATACATTAGCCAGCTTTCCTGTCACTGAGACACAGTGCCCAGCACCCATAACTGAGGAGTCAGTAATGCTCAGCAGGCTCCGGCGCCTCAGGGCAGAAGGGGATGGTAGAGCAGAGCTGCTTAGTTCCTGGTGGCTGAGAAGCAGAACAGGGGACATGTTCATTGCCAGAGGAACAGGCAAGGGCCATGTGTATAGCACCCAAGGCCACGCTCCTGTGACCCATCCTGACTCCCAGGATCTGATTCACTAATTTGCTGAGCATTTCTTACTCCAGTGATGTGGACATGTCAGGATTAACACTCTCCTATGGGGTCATGGGTTAGAGACATATGATCTGTAAGCAGAACAGGGGACATGTTCATTGCCAGAGGAACAGGCAAGGGCCATGTGTATAGCACCCAAGGCCACGCTCCTGTGACCCATCCTGACTCCCAGGATCTGATTCACTAATTTGCTGAGCATTTCTTACTCCAGTGATGTGGACATGTCAGGATTAACACTCTCCTATGGGGTCATGGGTTAGAGACATATGATCTGTATAATGTGGAAGGGCCATGGGTAGAGGTAGCGCTAGGAGAGATTTTGAAACTATTGACTTCTGAGCTAAGCCTTAAATAGTGAATAGCGGTTAGTGTGTAAATTGGAAGAAGGGTGGAGAAATGAGATGACTGAGAGCAAAAGCAGCCCGTACAAAGACGGACCCATTCTCAAGAAAAGTGTGACACTGCAGTGTTACTGTAGCATCAAGCGAAAGGCAGAGGGCTGAAAGACAAGGCTGGGGCACAGGAGGGAACTTGGGGATGGGCTGGTGTGCAGTGCTTAGAGGCATGGACAGCACTGGCTGATCACAGGACAGGAAGACCCTTGAAAGACTTCGCTCAGAGTTGTGGCTGGGTGAGATATCAGCCTTAGGTGGCAGTTGGGAGAATGAATGTAAAGGAAAGGTATCTTGGCAGCCAGTCCTGGGGGAAGACACAGAACACCTAAACTGAGCAGTATCATAGGAATGGAGGAGAGGGACAAAGTCAAGAACCGTCGGTGATCTGAAGCCAGTATGATGTGTTACTGTCAAAGATAAGAGAGGGGAAGGAACAAGGATGATTCTAGATAAGTACTTTATATGCCCGGATAGCAGACTGCAGTTTTAGACACTACAGATCGAAAGAGAGAATGTCAGGAATTTGTTTTTATCTTCCACATATTGAGATTTTAAATGTGTCTCTGATATATTTTGGAATTAAATCTAATAAATGGTTCGCAGAGATGTCTAGCTAACTAAAAATGCATCACCAGTGCTATTCATTAACCTGTCTTTTCTTGGAAGTGGAGGAAGCATCCAAAGCATATACCTGTCATAACTCTCGCACTGTATTGCAGTCCTTGGTATTCTTTTCTGTTCTTCTGTGTAATGAGTTTATCATTTGGGTCACAACTTTAGGATACACATGAGCAAATGAGCAAATAGATCATTTTTAACCCATCTATCTGAATTACTCTTCCTGTGCTTTTTCTGTGTTTTAAATTCCAGCACCTTCTACTGGAAGAATGTCAAACAGTGCAGCTTCCTCAGGACCAGGGGTACCAGCAGGCTCAGTTGTAGGGCAGCCCCAGCCAAGTGACCAGGATACTTTAGTGCAGAGAGCGGAGCACATCCCGGCGGGAAAACGAACTCCAATGTGTGCCCACTGCAACCAGGTCATCAGGTCAGTTATTTATTTTTTTAAATTTTCTTGAAAGTACTTAATACCAATGTTCAGTTTTTAAAATATTCTACAACTTTTGCAATTTTATGCAGAAAATATTCTTGTCATAATTCTGGAATAGTACTGCAGTAGATAAATATATTTAGAATCTGTTTTAACAAAAAGTAAATTGTAGGCTCCGAAAATAAAGCTTAAAAACCCCATCACGTGAATTACTCATTCCTTTTAGAACTAGAGAAAAATAGTGATTAATGTGGCCAGTCAGAAAACAATACAATTTTGAGATTTGAAGGGACCCTGAAGACCATTTCTCTCCACCTCATTATTTTACAGATTATTAAAATGAGAACTTACATTTAGATTTTTAGAAAAGAGCAATATAAGATAAAGAGTATTGAGTTCCCAAAATAAGAAAGTTGGTTTTTTGAATACCTAATCATTTACTTTCAGATCTATTCCTAAATATTTTAAATGTTACATTACACTCTAAGAGGCCGAAACAGAAGGATTGCCAGTTCAAGCCCACAATGGCAATTTAGCAAGACCCTGTATCCAAAAATTAAATAGACCGGGGATACAGCTCAGTGCAAAGGCTCCAGCAGGGTTCAACCCCAAGTGCCCAGGCTGAGGGGCAGAGATAGAGAGACAGAGAAAGAAATTAGGTCATACTGTGCTTCTTTAAAATATTTTTGACTAGAGCTATTAATTGTCTCTTAAACTCCCAAGAAGGAAAAAGATACTGATAGATCTTGAGTTTACTATGCTGAAGCATATTAAATCTCCAAACATTTTTAGAGGTGATCAACTTAAAGGAATTAGCCAGTAGTGGTGGTAGTCGCAACAGTCACCATGAGAAGGGACAGATCAGTAAAGTTTTCTGAAGTCTAGTGTATCATCGAGCACACAAGAGCATTCAATATAAATGTCTAACCAAACAGACTGTGTGTCTCAGAGCCCGGTCATAGCTCAGGTAGCTTGGTTCATCACTTTTCTAAGTGAACCGCTATATGGTTCCTGTCTCACAGAAATAGGTATGGTGCTGCCTTATTCCAGTAGAGTAAACTCCGACTTTTAAATGGTTTCTATAAGTTACAGTACTTTGGCTGCCTACGTTGCTGTCTTTGGATATTATATTGTAAATGAAAACACTCGTCCTGGAAAGGGAAGTCACTGCTTTTATTTGTGTGCTTTTGTAAGCCAATAATTACTGGGTGAGTAAACAAAATGTCACGCTGTATCACCTGCTGTTTGGCGCTATCTGATTATCAAATTTTGTGACATCTTACAGTCAACACTACTAACATTTTTGAAAGTATGGAGAAAATATAAAGATCATTCATCACCTCTTCCTGACTGGGTTCTAAATTTAATGCTAGGCCAGGATGAAATTGTAATGCACAGACATCTTGCCATATGAAGTAAGGGTATATTATGCTCTGTATATTTATGAGTGGCTGTCTGTTACTGCTCCCTCATCTGCTAAATTTTATATTCTGTAATATCCAGTGCTGTCATTGGCACATTAAAGATTCATTTACTAAGGAAGTTAATAGGAGTGAGGATCAGTTCATGTTGGAGATCATGTAACAGTAATTAACATAACACATTTGCCTGGTGCTTCAAATATTTAGGCAGCTTGAATAGATTGTGGTCAGTGCAGAGGCCCGGTCACAGCATAATTCCAGGTCTGAGCCTTAGTTTCAGTCTTGCCTACCAAAGCAAGGAGGCTTTAGATCAGGTGACATGCTTGTAGACACCTGTTTCAAAATGAGCTGCAGTTGCAAATTTAATACTTTCAACACCGAATATTTTACCCTTACAAAGTCTGAGAAGTGTAAGGTATATTTTGTACTTTACAGCGTTAGTTTTCTACCATATTATATATTTGTTTGTAATTGATGTGTTTTAAATACTTCAAAATTTCAAAAGAGACTATTAGGCAAAAACTAAGGCAAATGTTTTGTTGAGGTTTTTGGTTTATTTTGCAGACTTGATTGATTTTAGAAAATGTTACAAATCTGCATGTTATTACTGAACTGGTTATGTAGTTACAGAACAGATTCAATTAAAAATTTCATAATTATATTTAGCTATAATGTTTAAAGTTTTGTGGTTTATTTCAGTCTTGACAAGTTTGTGGATACTTCACATAAATGACATTATGGAGGCATTACACATGGATGGAGGTTACATTTTGGGAACTTTTACTGCAGCTTTAAGTTTGGTATGGAACATTTCCAATCCAGTTATGATAGAAGTACTATTTCTTCAATTCTTACACTTATGAATAGATTAACTTTTAGAGTCCTGGTATAATAAGGCAGCATAGCAAATCAAACCAACATAGTGACAGCTAGGTTTTCATTTCCCCGTGGAATGGGCTCATGAACATTCTGGCTTATTTCTTGAGAATTACAGCTATGACATTAAAATCTGTTGGTCATCTGTGTTACACTGAACTAACTGAACTGTTTATATTTAGCTTCTTAGTATCTTTGTGAAAAGAGATTCATGGTCCTTGCATTTCTTCCTGAATGTAGAATTCTTAAAAAAAAAAAAAAAGACCATCATTGTATTGTATGTAGTGTAGCCCTGGCCGAGTCACATTCAGGCAGGTTTTTTTGCTCAGTGATTGTCTAGCTATTCCTGTAAGGAGAGCCATGTGAGTTACTCATGGAGAAACCAGCATAGTCTCTTACATCTTTCTGCACCCAGCTCAGTCTCTAAGCATCCTCTTATTTATGGGTCTTATTTATTGTTCCTTCGGGTTAAGATTATTTGAAAATAAAAGGTTCCCTAGCTTAATGAATTTAGCCCCTGAATTAAAGGAAACAACTAAACACATTGACCAAGAATTTACTATGTAAACAGTATTTATTAAGAACATAAATATTTAACATCTCATCTGTATGATGTGATACTGTGGTGCCATGAATATCCTCCTTTTGCTTTGAGAGGTGTGAAATGTATGCATTTTAAATTGTCTTCTCAACAATGTGATTTTACAGACTTTATCAGTCAACTGCTTCCTAAAATTTCATGGCTATAAATTAAACATATCATTAACAGAACCCATCAGTGAATAAAGAATTACTTTATAAAGTTAAAAAAAAGCCTGTTTTTGAATAATAACCAATGTTTGATGTGGTCCTAGCATAATTTAAATATGCTAAAATTTTTACCTAAATATTCATGAAAATTCTAGAGACAGTTCTTGTTTTACTCTATTTCATTGATAAGAAACTTAAGGCCAGAGAAGTTACCTATTTCTCAGAAGTTGCATAGTCAGAGGTAGTATGTGAACTTGAGTCAAGATCGAACTTTCATTTCTTTTCTTTTTAACTACCACTACATAAGAAATTTTTCATAGTATTACATTAAGACAGCAAAAAGAAATTCAGAGCCAGGAGTGGTGGCACACGCCTGTAATCCCAGCGCTCAGGAGGCTGAGGCAGGAGGAGGATCGCTGTGAGTTGCAGACCAGCCTGGGCTACACAGTGAGTTCCAGATCACTCTCAACTACATCGTGATAACCTGTCTCAAAAAAACAAAAAAAAAAAAAAAAAAAAAAAAAAAAAAAAAAATATTTAAGTATGATTCCAATTTTATGTAAAGAAAATAAATACCAAGATACGTATTTAAGCATGATAATAAAGCTATTATTTATTGAGTGATATTGGTATCATACCAAGAACTTGATTTGTGTTATTCTGCTGGATCCTCATGATAACTGCATGAGGTTCATATTATTCTTAGGAGCATTTTTTTTTAGATAGGAATACTAGAGATTAGGTTAATCTGTCCAGAGTCACAAAGTTGTCTGAGTTGAAGAGCCAGGACCAGAACCCATGTATTTTTTAAATCTAAAAGATAATAGCTAATTTGTTAATATCTATTTAGGGTCTTAACAAGACATACAGCCACTTTGCTTTAGAAAAAGTTAAAAAATGGGCTGGGCATATCTCAGTGGCACCTGGCAAGCACAAGGTCCTCAATTTGATTCCCAGTATTGGAATAAAAGAAGTTATAAAGAAACTATACCCCAAAATTAATGGTTATGATCTCTAGATAAATTGATTTGATATGTCTGTTTTCTGTTAACTTTCTGAGTTTCTATGTATGTGTGTGTGATGAGCACACGCACATAGAATCAGGTATGTGATTGTATTGACTTGGGAAAACCAATTTTCAACAAAGCTGCCGTGACTTGAGTGTTTGCTTTGTTCATAATGTTATAAGAAGGAATAGATAATAATATGTTGAAGAATTAAACATTCTTACTTCCCCCTCTGAAATATTTTCTGTTACTTACAAGGACTTCTTAACCTCATAGTGGTCACCAAGACTCACTTTCCCCGTTTCTCACCTAATAAAGGACTATACCATGCTATAAGTTGTACTTCCACTTAGCTTCTACTGATACAGAAATGGAAGACACTCCCTTCCCTGCAGATGATTATTCTTATGAACTAAATTGTGTCTCCTCAAATTCATGTTGAATTCCTAATTCTCGGCACCTCAGAATGTGACTATTTAGCAGGGCGTTTGGTCTATAAAGAGCCCAAATTAAATCATCAGGGTAGGCCTTAATCCAGTGTGACTAGCTTCATGGTAAGAAGCAGTTAAGGCACTGACTGACTCATAGAGAGAGATGACCATGTGAAGACACACACCAAAGGTCATCTGCACACCAATAATAGAGACCTTAGAAGATACCACCCCTGCCAGTCTCTTGATCTTGGATTTCTAGCCTTCATGATCATGAGAAAATAAATTATTACTTAAGCCACTTACTGTATGGTACTTTGTTACAACAGCCCTACCAAAGAGTTACACCTCGTAAAAAACACAAGCATTTCAACAACCAAATGAATGTGTTAAGTCTAGTACAGATACATCTCAGATCGTATTTGTATGAAGAGAAGTAAGGATTGTCTAGTTTGAACAAACCAATTTCTTCTATTTGAAAAGAATGTCAAGCAATAAGAAACAGTAGTCTA